CCCCCCCCCCCCCCCCCCCCCCCCCAGCCTCTGTCGCCCCATTCTTCCCCTCGCGATACCTGGAACTCGCCCAACGTTGCTCCCACACGTTGCTTGACCCGTGAGCAATCGAACGCCTGTTTCGCGCGCAGTCAGGGCCGAGACATGCTGATAAAGGTGTGGGACGCCGAAAGCCTAGCGGCCGGGGGCGGTAGTGGCGTTGGGTCGTCATCTCGGGCGTCAATTACCCCGCAGCCCCTGCAGGTGCTCCCGACCGGAGCGTTTCACTTCTGCCAGTTCGCGCTGACGCGATGGCGTGAAGAAGCAAGACCAAAGGGCAAGGAGAGCACGAACAGTAGCAGCGGTGGCGGCGGCGAGCACGATCCTCGAGAAGAGAAAAAGAGCGGCGAGAGGCGAAGGGAGGAAGAGCGGTCACCGCCTGGTGGGCAGACGGGGCGAGAGGGAGATGCGGCGGAGCCGGCACCATCCGCAGCAGCCGACGATGGGGAAGCACAGCAAGGTTCTTTTCTCTCCGACGAAAGCTCCTTCGCAGAAAACGTCATGCTTGCGCCGTGCGGGCAACAGACATTGGTGAGAGGCTGTGATCCCAGGTCGGGCGTCTCTTTCTTGTGGCCGCGAATGCGTGCTCTCGTCGACTGCTGTGTTGGAACGCACCAGCGTCAGTGGATTTGGCATGCTGGACACGTTTGGGACAGTCAGTAGAGAGAGATTTCTACGCGTTGGTGGAAGGGTATGCGAGTCGACGGACCGCGTGAACCGGGTTTAGTCGACTATGCTTCACTTGACGTTCACGCCCAGGCGCGATCGACCACCGTATATATATGAACCCCTTCTCACGACCTTTGGCCCAGTACCGTTGAACAGAGAGTAAAACGTGGGCGGGTGCAGTTGTTTTTTTCATGTGGAAGGCTTGCATGTTTGATTTCGCCGCTAGCTTTCGCGAAATGATGGATGCCATACGTCTGCTACCCGTTTTCGGGGGGTCATTTCCCCTTCTTGCGATCAGGTGTCCTTGTGGGACCTGCGGAAGGCGAGGCCGTCTTTTACCTTCGCTCCGAAAGATGCCGAGCAGAAAGGTAAGAGAGTCTGGTGAGGGAATGGCCACGATGCCGCACACCTGTCGGCGTGCTTGTTCTACGCTTTCACCAGCCCCACTTGTCAGCAACTCCCCGAATACCTCCCGCTGCCTCACGTTCCAGGGTTGAACCACGTGTCGCTCGAAAATTGGCCTTCCTTTGATATAAACAGCGCGTGTGCGCTTAATCCACGTCCAAAACCTGCTGTTGTCTGTTTTCGCCACCGCCACCGCCACCGCCTCTGCCGTCACCGCCGCAAATCGCGCTTCCGGTGCGGACGGAACACACGCACGTACACACAGGCATGGTGATGTGCGTGCGGCTTCTGGGAGAGTCGCCCTCGTGCGCGAGCCCGTTCGCGGTGGTGGGGCACGACGCCGGGCACCTGTGCGTGTACGACCTGAGGGCCACCTCCGCGGAGCCGCTGCTGGAGTCGCGGCTCCACAAGGTGCCACGTAAGATGCGATGTGTGATGTTGTTAGCGTTGTCAACCACTTGCTTGCTTTCTTTGTCAGTCACACACCAGCACCAAATTTATCTTTTCACACGCACGGGCTGGAAGACGAGTTTCATCAGTGGAAGGTACACACTGAGAAATATTTTGTGCTTTGTCTGCGATGTAGGTATCTCGCTCGCACGAAAAGAATGAGGGAGTCCGGGATACAAAGGGTGTTCTCTTGACTTGTACTGCTGTGACGCGGCTCCCTCAGTTCGCGGCGGCGGGGGTCTAACATATGTCGAGCAGCGCCGATGAGCAACAAGAGGCAAAATGTCCAAGACCTTCCTTGGGCGAGAATAGAGCGGCGTCGTCAGCCAAGACTAATCGGGCAAGGACAGTTGGGGGCCGGAGGGCGTGCGTCCGTATGGTGTCAATGCTAGACCTGCGTGGTCCATTTTCACGTCCGCTCTCCCGCTGCGGACGAGCGCACGTCCTTGGTGAATTTGATCGTTGTCTTACGAAGTCTCCCGAGAGTATTCCTTTAGCACGTTTTTCGCTCGTCACCTCGCGGGTCCACGCTAAAATACGAGACCGCGTTGTGGCCCCCTCCTCTCTCCTCCCCACGCTGTGTCTGGTACCTTCCTACCCTCCGGTTGTTGTCCGTGTTTGTTTCGTCCGCTTTTTATCCGTTCCACGGCGCGAACGGCGGGCGGGGCAGTACTCTGCGTGGACGTAGGGTCTTCCTGTAGGCAGGGCGTGTCTGGGTCTGCGGACGAGAGCATCAACGTCTTCACGTTGTCCACCAGAAAGGCGAGTTGTGTGTGTGGTGGGGGGGGGTCTACCTGGGAGCGCGTCCTGATTTCTTGTGCACGCACGGTTTTGGCCTCAGTTTGCTGAAAGAAGAGTTTTGTTGACGATACCGCTAACGGACTTTGGTCGACGGTGGCGTTTCGTCGCGCCTACTGGAAATATTTGGAGGATATCTCAACAAGCCAGCAAGAAGCAAGCATCGTCACACACGCATACGGGAGACTCGTTGGAGCTGCTGATCGGCGCTCAAAGAGCTAAATCGTAGCACTGACCGTGCGGGATGTGCAGGTAACAGAGTGAAACGGCCTGCTTTGTAGGCCAGGTTTACGTTCTTGAGTTTACCCCTAAACTATTTTAACGGAGCCAAGGCTGAGAAGGACAATTATGCATCGGGGGGAGCAGACGTCAGAATCATATATGGAATGGTGCGCTACTTGAGCCAGCGAACAATCGTTGTCCTAGCGTTTAGAAATGGTTGCCTCAACGGGCGTAGTAGGAGAAACGTCGGGAAACGCTTTTGTGGTGTTTGTCGAGTGTGGCAGAACAAATTGACGAAGGAGAGCCCAGGTTCGGAAAATACTTGATCAATTGCCAACGGTGAAGGCAAGCAACAAGCCCCCCCTCCCCGCGCGCATCTTAGGATGCTCCAAGCGCACAAGTATTGCAGCCGTCAGGGAAGAATTGGGGATCCAATCCCTGCGGTCGGGAAGAGACGCAAGGAAGCTGACATGGCAGTATCGCATATGCGGGATGGGAGAGGAGAGGTTGCCGAGAATTGTATGGGAGGCGAAGTGGGC